GGGACGCCCTCGGTGCCCGCCCACGTCTGTGCTCCCTGGAGGAGCCTGGCCTTCCCTGGGCGCGGGAGGCACCTGCCACCTCCGGAATCAGGCCCGTGTCCCTCGCCCAGAAGGAGAAGGAGCAGCGGCTGAGGGCCACGCCCGGGGACACGGGTCCCTCCCCGCACAGGGCCACACGCCCTCCCTCCTTCCCGCAGGACTCAAGTCCAGGGAGGGAGGCCCCTGAGCTCTAATTACACGTCGTCCTGGAAAGAAATCCCAGTCTAACCGGAGCCGAGCGAGCAGCTGTGGCTGGAAACGCTCCGAGGAGAGCCGCCTGCCCGAGCCGGGGAGAACGGGGCGTGTTTCTCGGTTCCCGAAGAGCGAGGCCAGGGAAGCGCCCTGCCGGGGCCTCGGCAGGGGTGGGGACGCCCCGGGCTCTGGGGGCCTGACCTGCGCCTGCCTGGGCCCCAGCCCCCAGGTGGAGCCAGCCCTCGGCCTGGGCGGGGACAGGGGCATCACGTGGGGACAGCCCGTGGGCAGGCGTGTGCGGGGCTCAGGAAGGGACAGGCAGCCCGGGAAGGGGGGCAGACTCTGGAGGTGCCGGCAGCTTTCCTGGGGGCTCCACCCTCTCAGGACGCCCAGGGCTGGGCTGGAGCTTTCCCCAGCTCCACGTGGTCCCAGCCTGCACCGTCTCCACCTGCGCCAGCACTGCTGGCTGTCTACACTGCCCAGCACAGGTGCAGCGGGCCGTCAAGGCCTCCCGACTGTCACCCAGCCCGCCACGCCCCCCCACAGCCTCTCCTCTGCTGAGCCCCCCTCGGGGGCGCCTGACCCCACGACAGGACACAGGGCAGGGGCGCAGCTGTCTGTCACCCACACGCTGCGTCCTGACGGCCAGAGCAGCAACCGGGAGGTGGGGGGCCAGGGCGAGGGTGGGGGGCTGGGAAAGCCCCGTTCACGCCCCTCCCGCCCCCACAGTACGCCTCCTCCCAGGCCGGCTTCTTCCAGACACAACGGGAACGGGGACGTACACGCCGGCGACCCTCCAGTACGGCCTGGGATCCTCCTCCCTCCTTCCTCCTTCACCGACAGTGCCCACCTGTCCCCCACCTGTCCCCCACCTGTCCCCCACCTGTCCCCCACCTGTCCATCCCTCATGCCCCGCGGCACATACAGGGCGCAAACCCCCAGTGTCAAAACACTGCCCTGCCTCCCTCCCCCTCCACCACCTTATCTCTCTCTCTCTCTCTCTCCCTAAAAGGTAGGAGTCGCCGACAGGTGCTCACCCACATCCTATCATCCACGCCCGGCCAGCGGTCCCCACAGGCTGCCACAAGACTGCCACGTCACTCATTTCTGCACAGCAGAGCGCGCTGGTCCTTCCCGAAACCCCAGGCCGGCCCGGGCACCTTCCGGCTCTGCGCCCGCCGGCCCGGCCAGCTGCACCGTCACCGCAGGGCCCCGAGCGCCGCGGGCAGCCCCTCCTCCAACGCCTTCCACCTGGGGCCCCAGTCCGGTCTCAGGCCCTGAATTCATCAGCGCACCCTGGCTCCTCCCGGCTTATCCCCCAGGCGACCCGACGGCCGTCCCCTCCCATCCTGCAGGTCCCTGCCCCAGGCCACCTGGATGCTGAGGCCGTTTCTGACCACCCTGCCCCGGCACACGCCCCGTGGCACTCGTGGCCAGTCCCCACTCACGACGGGCGCACCTGCGACGCGTGTCGTGCGCAGCTCCACATGTCTGTGGACGGACGCAGGCCGGGTGGGGGGTGGGGCGGGGCGGACAAAGCAGCCGCACACACAGTGACACACAGTGACACACAGTGACACACAGGTGACACACAGGTGACCAGACGGAGCGGCCGCTGCGCTGCCCCCCAGAGAGCACAGGGCACAGCGAGTCTCAGCGGCTCTCTGTGTCCCCCACACCGGCCGACACCCCGACAGTGCTGGACAAATGCGCTATCACCCAGGGCGTGGGCAGCGGGGCAGCCGCAGGGCTCAGCGGACACGTGGCCAGGGAAGTGCGCGGACGGGACAGATGGGCAGGACAGACAAGGGACACAGGCACTGGCCCTGTCGGCTGGGACCATCGGCCACCCCTGCGTCCTCCCGGCCTGAGGCCGGCCGAGCTGAGCCGTGCTTGGCGGGTGAGCGGCTGGAACCCCCCAGTCAGGTCGGGTCGGGTTAGGGTGTCTTGGCCTGGGTGGGGACAGGCCAGCGTGGTCCCGGGAGAGGCAGGCGGGGGCGGAACCCCCCGGGCAAGCTGCCCAGCCGGCACAGGGACCTCCTGACAACCAGGCCGAGTCCACACCAGGGACCAGCCACTGAGCCCCAACCCCAACCCCAAGGAGTGACAGAGTCCTGGGCAGTCACCCAAAACTGACCCGGCTAGGGTGCTGCTCACAACGCAGGGTCCCCTGCCCCAGGCGTGGGAGTGGGCACAGCCTCAGCGCACAGGACAGGCCGGGCCCCCTGCCGGACTCCGTGGTGTCTCCCCAGGGCCGCGGGGCCCACACGGGTGGACGTGGCCCCCCGCACACTCCAGGCAGGAGTCCCGGGGAGGCCACGCGTCTGCCCCGAGGCAGGGCTGGGAGGTCCCCACCTGGGCCTTGCAAACAGAGGGACCCCGCTGGCCTCGGGGGACCTCGGCTTCGCCTCCCCGCCCGGCTCTCTGAGCACCAATTAAGTGAACCCTAATTAAAAACAGCCAAGTAACAAGAACACCCCCTGCCACCCGCAGGGGCCTCAGCTCAGCAGGGTGCAGGGCTGGGGCTCCGCCCTGGGTCCCCGAGGCCCCTGTGAGCTCACCGCCGCCTGCACCCCACACGGCTCCCCTGTGCCCTCCGTGGGCCCTGAGCTCCTGCTCGGAGGTTCCCACACGGCCAAGCTGCAGAAAGAGGAGCCTGGAGGCCTCGAACAAGCCCGGCCTGCCCTGCAGAGACCAACCCAGAGGAGAGACACAGAAGGCGGAGAAGAGGGAGAAAAAGCAAAAAGACACAGAAACAGATGGGAAAGATGGAAATACAGAGACAAAGAGGGCAGAGAAAGTGAACCAGACAAGTAGGGGAGAGGAGGAGAGGGGAGGGGAGGGGAGAGGTAGGAGGGGGAAGAAAGAAAAACAAAAAGAGATGAACAGACCTAGGGCCCCTGGGCCCTGCTGACACCCAGGAAGGTTCCACCCTACCCACCTCTGACAGGGAGTGTGGGTAGAGGGGAAGGGGCTCGGCCCACGCGGAGGCCAAGGCTGGGGGCAGCCCCCCAACCCCATCTCCAGGACACTCGGCGGGAGGATGATGGGGTCCCGCCTCCCCGACCGCAATCATCAATTCAGCAGAAGCTCCGGCCCCTCCCTGGCTCCCGCCCTGAGCCAGGCCCTAGAGATGGCTGTGAAATACAACACGGTTCTCGTCTCCAGGGACTTGCGTCTGGAGGGACAGGGCCATGTAAACAGCTGCAGTGATGCCTGGACCCACCAGTGGCGCCCGCTGGGTGTGGGGCGCACCCCGACCCCGGGGGGCCACAGGCTCCCCCAGCCGCCCCCACCCCAGCGTCCGCAGTGGGACAGGTCTCCACGGGGCAGGGGGCTCCCATCAACCCACCCCACACATGCCCCCTGTGGGCAGGGGTGGCCAGGACACCAGGCTGCGGGGGGCCAGGAGCCCCCCCTCTGCTGTGCACCGGGCAAGCCACAGACAGCTCGGGAGTCCAGCCTGCCACGGGGCCCCCAGCCCTGCGAGCCCTGTCTCACCCAGCTGGTGAAGCACGAGCACCTGGCTCAGGGGCCTCCACCGCAGCCTCCTCCCGCTCTGTCCCCAGCCCCAGCCCCCACAGGCACCAGGCACCTCAGGAGGGCTCTGGATGGAGCATCTTGGACCCAGGGGAAAGGCAGGTGTGTGGGAGGCCGACCCCCGGCACACACGCCCTCTGCAGCAAGCAGCGGCGCTCAGCCTGGCCTCCACCCCCCCCCAGGGGAGCAGGGACAGGGCCCTGAGGTCACACCCCACAGACAGAGCCACAGCCACGGCCGCCCAGGGCAGGGGCAGGGGACACAGCACTCTGCCCACCCCGCCCACCCCACCCACGGGTGGACTTTCGGGTCTCCACAGCTGGCAGTGACCAGGACCCAGCTGCGGAGGAAATTGCTGGAAGGGACACACCCACTAAGCTCCTTCCTGGAGCTACCGTGTTTCCCCGAAAATAAGACCTACTCATAAAATAAGCCCTAGCAGGATTTCTAAGCATCTGCCCAATATAAGCCCTATCCCGAAAATAAGACCTAGTGATGGGCGTGGCTACGCAGCGTTTCTGCACAACCCATGCATTTTGTTGCAGAGAGGTAAAGACGACAAGCAGCCCTTCTCATCCGCCCCGTGAGAGCTCTACTGCTCGATGTGAGAGATCGGGGCCAATGGTTCTAAAGGAAATAGAGTCGCAAGAAATTCAGGATGGAATTCCGGGTTTGGAGAGTGATGATGATGTTCCAGAAGGAGATGACTTAACCCTATTTGAATAAACATAGATGGTTGTACCGTACTTTAAAAAACTAACACATCCCCTGAAAATAAGCTCTAGGGTGTCTTCTTGAGGAAAAATAAACATAAGACCCTGTCTGATTTTCGGGGAAATGCGGTAGAAGACGAGACGTGAGGTACACAGAGCTGGGGGAGACTTGGGGGGCTCTTGGGCGGGAAACCGCTGGAGACCCCTCGTGCAGACTGAGTGAGCGCCAGATGTCAGAGGGAGGGCCCTCCCCGCCCCTCCCCGCCCCTCCTCTCCCCTCCCCTCCCGAGGGCCACCTGCGGGCCACACCAGGCCACGCTGGACTCCGCCAGCCAATTCTCCTGCGGACAGGTCAGCCGGTCGGCGGACAGCGCAGCCCGGGCTCCTCCGAGCAGACGCAGGCCCTGGACCCACCCACGTGGGGCAGCCGTGACTTCGGGTGTGTCTCGGGCGGGCTGGGGGCAGCCAGCGTGGACGGACGGGCAGACAGCAGGTGCCCAGCCCCGGCCCACCTACCCGGTGAGGACGACCACGAAGTCCATGACATTCCAGCCGTTGCGCAGGTAGGATCCCTTGTGGAAGACGAAGCCCAGGGCGATGATCTTGATCCCGGCTTCGAAGCAAAAGATGCCGATAAAGTAGGGCTCCGTGTCATCCTGGGGGAGCACAGACCCGGGTCACCTGGGTGGCAGAGGCCGCACGGCGGATAAGGCACTCCTGACGCCGCCGCACCCACCTCGACAGCCCGCCCCTCCCGCCCCACCCCAGCACCCCCTGGTGTCCCCGTCTCCACGCCCGTCTGCTCCTCCACGCTGCCCTCACGGACACCCCGCTGCTCACATGGCAGCCAAGTCCCAGTCACACCTGGGGGTGCCCTCTCGCCCCCCCCCCCGGCGTCTCAGCCTTTGCACCACATCACAGAAGGGCCAAGACCCAGCCTGCCAGAGCCACACGGGGCTTTGCTCACGGGAAGATAACCGTAGCAAAAACACTGTCTGCAGGTGCCACATGTAGGTCTCTCATGCATCAACCAGGGTGACCCTGCAACACGGCTGTGGTCATCTGCGTTCTAACGAGAAGGGCAGAGGCCACAGCAGCGTCTGGTCTGACCAGGGACCGCAGCCACCATGCGAGGCTGCCTGGAGAAAGCTCGGCCTTTCTAGAACCAGGGCCTGGACTCACTCATGCATTGAGTGCACGCCTGGGTAATGCAATATGCAAACCTTGGTGGAAAGAACTGAAACAGAGCAGCAAAACCCCCAGCCCCGAAGGCCCTCCAATGACGCTGCACCCCTCCCGTGAGAGCCCCCCAGAAGGACAGCGCCCGCCGCAGTCCAGCCAGGCGCCAGGCTGGAAGGTGGGAGCAAACTCGGGCTCCAGACACCTCCCCAAGGGTGTCACGGTGCCGGCAGGCAAGTGCTCCACGGCTAGACTCTGAGGAAGGGAACCCCAAGTACAGGGAGCAGTGTGAGCAAAGGAACCTTCATTCTAGATCCTAGAAAGATTCCTTTCCTCCACCCCAGCCTGGCCAGGCCCTGGGGGTGCTGTGCCAAGAACAGCAAACAAGGCAGAGAATGCCAGGACCCCACGGAAGACTCAGCTGGGGGCTGGACGTGGACAGCTGCACTCCAGGCTGCTGCCCCAGGAAACGGGGAGGCCTGGCTCCTGAGGGCTCCCCACACCTGACTCGCCCACACCCAGCCTGGACCCGCCCCCGCCCTGCCGCACCGACTGGCGGAAGCTGCTGGCACCGGGGCCAGGCTGAGGAGCCTCCACCAGGCCGGCTCTCCTGTCCTGCCGCCCTGATGCTGACTCACGGCGGGCGGAGGCCCCTGGAGGGACACACACACTTGCCTTGGCCTTGAGGCTGCTAGTCTAGCTGGGAGGAGCCCTTTCCCCAGGGGACGGCTGGGCCCAGCAAACAGACCTTTACAGAAAGCTGCTGGGTAGAAGACAGAACAGGCCAGACTCCAGGGAAAGACTGGCCGGGGCCAGCAGCTGGGCGGGCTCCACAGCTCCACCCCTCCCAGGCCCGCCCTGGCCAGCGCAGGGCTGAGGGCTGGCATGTGTGCGTGGGAGGGTGGGGGTGCAGGCAGCTCCGTGCTGGACTGCAAGCCGGGGCCCAGCTGAAGGCAGCTCCAGAGTGGATGGGTGGGTAGGAAGTGGCACTCCAGAGGCAGGGAGACCCCAGCCTGGCAAACAACTGACAGGCTGCCTCTGTGCCCCCAGCCCCCAGCCCCCCCACCTCTGCTCCTGGGGAGCAGCGTGGACCTGCTGTCTACCCCAGGGCCTTCGAGGGCTGTGCCGGCACCCACGCATGCAGACCGCCTGGCCAGGGCAGTTACACGCTGCTCATTTTCCTGACAATTTAGCATCCAGCCCTGGACGTGACCCTGCCCACACAGGGTCTGCACAAGACAACCTGCACAAGACAACACCCACGCTGCCAGGCAGAGCCCACACTGCAGGATGCCTGCCGCCAGCAGGCCAGGACAGGACAGGCTGGAGCCTCCCTGCCTCTGCCCCAGGCTGCCCCTGGGCCTGTGTCCCTCTGGCCCTACCCTGTCTCCAGACTTCCTGGAGACACCACGCCCCCTGGCCTAGCATTTAAGCTCCCTGCCTGAACCCCCAGTTTCTTCTCTCTGCCCTCCCTCGTCTCCAGCCTCCAGAGTGGATGCCCCCCTCTGGAACATGGCAGACTGCAGACCCACACCGCCAGCAGGACCTGAAGCCCAGAGACTGCCAGTGATGCCACCAGGCTCCGTGCCCATGTCCCCCACGAGGGCCACCAGTTACCCTCTGCCTCTGCCGGGGAGGGCCCAGGGCAGCAGGGCTTGGGGACTGGCTGCCGGGAAGGCGAGTGCTGCTGGCCCCACAGGGACAGGCTAGGCTGTCCACACTCCTCCCCAGACACCCAGGACACGAGCCCCACCTGGCCTTCTAGGTTGTGCACCACACAACCTCGTCACCCCCCCCCGGCTGTCCACCCACTCACCTGCTCCTGGTGCCCAAACGTGGGCACCCCTGGCACACTCCCCTCTGGGCCACTGGGCCTGCGGTGGCCCGTGGCAGGGGGTTCAGGGGTAAAACGCCAGGTCCCATGCTAAGCACTGGACAGGCCTTATCTCAACAGTCCTTATCTCCAATGGACACCACGGAAGCAGAAGACGGGGTTCCAGGGAGGGAAGAGAAGGATCAGGCTCTGGATGCCCCCCGAGAAACGCCATCTCCCTGGGGTCCTCAAGCCCAACACCCCCTCCCCTCTGGACCCCCACACTTGCTTTCCTCCTCCACACTCTGAGCACAGGGTCTTGGCCCACACTGAGCCCAGGCAAAGGGGCCAGGGCAGTGGGGAGCTGGGGCTGTTAGCCTTTGACATGGCGCTCACCTCCCGAAATACTGCCCTTCCCTCCAGTCCAGCCCCTCCAGAGACCCCACCTGGCTGGCCTTCGACCTGCTTCCTGCTGAGCTGGGGCTCAGACCATGGTCTTGCCCCCCCTACAGAGACCCTGCCCTGGCCCCCTTACTCTCCCAGCTCTGTGCTTCAGTGGGGTACCACCGTGGTCTGGGGAGCTCTGGCAGGAAGCTGGAGGTGGCTGGGAGTGATTCAGAATGTTTGGGAAGGGGTGGCCCCACGGGAAGGGGTTCCAGGCAGAGCCACAGAAGGCAATCTGAAGGCAATCTGAAGGCAAGGCTCACGGTCCCCAGATCCAGGCCAGGCCACGGGAGCCAAAGGCCACCACAGCCTGCAGGGAAGAGTGGGTGGCACTCACAGAGCCTCTCGCTCCCACTGCACCACCGCGCATGCCCTTCCTCCACCCAGGGTCAGCACCTGGGTTCTCAGACAAGGCCTCGTGCCACCTGCCAGGAAGGCTCACTGGAGGTGCAGGGGGGGCTCGTGGCACAGGGCAGACCAGGAAGTGGCCTGCGAGGCCTCGACCATCCGGGCTGCCCGGCCCTTGAGAGAGGTGTCAGCCGCCTGGCTGTCCCCTTTCGCTCAGCTGAGAGCGGGCAGCTGCCCAGAGGACCTGGCCTGAAGAAGCTGTGCTCAGGCACAGACGCTGAGGCGAAGCAGTCCGCGGGGGCCAGCACCCCATCCTGCCCGCAGGCCCGGCCGCCAGCACTCACCAGCCGCTCGGACATGGGCGTCTTGTCGCCGTCAGGGAGGTGCTGCTCCAGCGCCAGCACGATGCAGTTGGCGATGATGGTGGCGAGGATCATGTACTCGAACGGAGTGCGAGGGTTAAGGACTGGCTGGGCGGCGCCACCGGGAGGGGAGGCCCGGGGCTGCGGGAGCCACCGCCAGGCCGTCCCGGCGGGCTCAGAATGAGGGGTCCGCAGCCCACCCTGGGCGGGCGAGGGCTGGTCTTCCCCACCGCCTGCTCGGTTCCTGGGGCGGCCGCGAGGCGGGGCCTCCGCAGTCCGGGTCGCCAGCCCCTCGGCACGCCCGGCGCCGTCAGCACCGCGGACAGCGCCTCCGCCCCGGCTGCGCCCGCGCCCGCGCCCGGGAGGGGCCCAGAGCCGCCCACCCCCCGGCGAGACCCGAGGGAGGACCCCGCGCAGGCGCACACTCCCACCTAAAGACACGTAGCCACATGTACCTACACAGGCACGTGAACATACGTGTACCGACCATCCCGCACGCACGCGCGGCACCGGGTTCATGCTATGCCCGCACACACACGCAGGCACCTGCAGCCAGGCGCGCGCATGGGCTCGCGTCCACACGGCGCTCACACCTGCACCGACACGGATTCGCCCTCGGGTGCCCTCCAGGCCGCCGCGCGCTCCGCAGCGGGCAAGGCTGCCCAAGACGAGCGGGCGCAGGGACGGGCCCCGGGCAGAGGGGCTCCGCCCAGCGTCCACCGACTCCCGCCGCCGCCGCCGCCACGGCCGCACACACACGCACACGCACATGCACACGCGGCGCGCGGAGTGGGACCCGCGGGGCCGCCCCGCCCCCTCCTCGCCCGGCACGGCGTCCCCGCGGCGCCCGTCCCCAGGGCGCACCCCGCTCCCGGCCGCGGAAAGATGGCCACTGCGCGCCGCGCGACCCGCCCGGCCCAGCCCCCCGCCCCCAGCCCGCCGCCGCCCGCAGACCCGGCCCCGGCAGGATATGGCCACTCCGTGATGCGCTTGGCGTATTTGCGGACGACGTTGTCCTCGCTGAAGACGAAGAGCGAGCGGTTGACGGTGAAGCAGTTCTGCTTGACCGGGATGGGGTTGTACAGCGCCATGGTCCGCGCGCGCTGCGCGATCGACTGCTTGTAGAGGACCCGCTGTCCGGGCTGCAGACCCCCGGGGCCCGGGCCGCCCGCCCCGCCGGCCCCGCCGCCCCGGGCCCGCTCCCCGCTCCCGGCGCCCCCATAGCGGCCGCCCAGCTCGTCCCCGAAGCGGACCATGGCTCCCGGGCCCCGCGCGCATCCCCGGCCCGGCGGCCCCGACAGGGAGGGCGCGGGCGCCAGGCGCCCGGAGCGCAGCCGCTGCGGAGCTGCCGGCACCGCACCGGACCTCGCCCGGCCCGGCCGCCGCCGCACCCGGTTCCGCGGCCCGCGCCACGCCCTAAAAGGGCCGGTCACGTGGCGGCGCCCGGCCAATGCGCGCCGGCCGCCCCGCCGGCCGCCCGCCCCGGCCGCCGCGGGTCGGCAGCCGCCCGGTGCGCCGGCCGCGCCGCGTCGCGCCCGCCAGTCCTTGCGCCCCCCGCGCCCGCGCGCCCCCGCAGCTGGGCGAGGCCGCGAGGCCTTCCGAGGGCCGCGCCCCGCGCCGAGCCGGGGCTGTCCCCGAGCTGGCGCCGCCTGCCCGACCGCCTCCGGGTGCCGGGGCTCCCACGCTCGGCCCTCGCAGACCCCTCGTTCCCCCTGGAGGCATCGCCGGGCGCGGGGTGCCGCAGCCTAGGCGGCAGGGTCGGGCTCCGGCCGCCCCTCCTCGCTCCTCCCGGAGGCCCCGTCGCCACGCCCCTCCCCCTCGCCGCAGACCACCCGCCTCCTCCGGGAGGGTGTTGGCTCCGGGACGCTCTCAGGCCAGTCCTTGCGCGTCTCCGACGTCATGATGGACGATGTCGTTCCACCCTGGTCTGTCAGGTTTACACCATGGACAGCCCTGTCTTAGGGCCCCTGGGTCGTCCACACTGGACCAGCTCCCAGAGCTCAATTCAGAGACTCCTTCCTTCTGCCATCCGTTCAATAAAAATTCAGAGAGAACCTGTTGTTGGCGTGCCCCGTCTCTGCACCCAGCGAGCCTCCCCGAGCACCCACCGCGCCAGGCCCTGCCCTGCAGTCCCCGCTGCGCCTTCGTGCGGCCGACCCGTCTACACGCGCACAGCAAATACTTAACCTAGTGCTTGCCTTGCGCGAGGCGCGGGGCTCGCACACTCCAGGCAGCCTTCCGGGAGTCACACTCCTCCTGGTGAGAGGCGCAGGAGGCCCAGCAAGGGCCCAGCGCCGCCCTCTGCGCCGGCACCGCGGGAGCAAGTAAGGACCACATGCCCGGCAGGCGGCCAACAGCGGAGCGGACTACAAGGGAACACGGCTTCCTGTGGTGCTGCCCGGGGCAGGGCAGCCCTGCTGCGGGAACGAGGGCCCCTAGCGCGCACCTGCCGGCCGCCCGGTGGTGCTGAGGTGTGCGGCGCCAGGCCAGGCAGTGGGCGTGAGTGCAGAGGCCCTGGTCGGGTCCGGCGCTGTGAAGGCCAAGGTGTGGTCTCTGCCTCCTGTTCCAAGTGCGATGGGCAGTCTAGAGCAGGGGTCCCCAACCTCATTGGCCCCAGGGACTGGTTTCAAGGAAGGCAATTTTTCCATGGACCACGGATGGGGAGGTGAAGGGGATGGGGGGGGAGGCGGAGCTCAGGCCTTGATATGAGCAATGGGAGCGGCTGTAAATACTAATGAAGCTTCGCTCCTGCCCCACTGCTCACTTCCTGCTGTGTAGCCTGATTCCTGACAGGCCATGGCAGGAGATGGGGACCGCAGGTCTAGAGAATTCTGAGAAGAGGCATGTGTTCATCTGACTCGCATTCTAGAGGTTCCCTCTGGCTGCCGTGTGAAGCACAGACTACAGGAGGCCAGGTGTGTATCATTTAGGGTGCATTGAGAGGCAAGCAACCCGATTCCTAGCTAGCAGCAGCTTATGCTAAATACAATACACTTTTAACCTCAGGAAGAAGTCACTAAGTATGCAGTTTCAGGAGCACATAGTCTTTCCATCTCACTTCCCTCCCATTCCCGCCACATTCTCTGTTTCTCCTTGTAGTTACTTACTGCCTCATGGCCCGAGGTGGCTGCCATCGCACAAGGCATCACATCTTCATACCACTATCTCAAACAGGAAGGAAGGGGCAGACAGAAAAGGGATATCCACATTTAAAAATCAATTTATGATATCCTTTTATAACAAAGAAAAGGTTTCTCAGAAGCTCCCCAGCAAACTTCTTTTTAAACTCCCTTAGGCAGACATGGGCCATGTGGCCACCCCTGGCTTTATAAGGGTGGGAAAGTGAACATGCGGCAAAGCAGACCAGGGCTGCCTTCATCTGCTAATGTGGACACAGTCGTCCCAAACAAAATCAGGGTCCACTTAGCTTAGAAGGCGGGGGAGGCTGTGGAGGCCACTGGCCAACTGCAGAGAGAAGTGGGGCCCAGGTAGGGGTTTTGCCGGCAGCCCAGGAGAGGAGTGATGTGGCTTGGATACGGGGACCAGGAACAGTGACTGTCACTTCTAGAGCCAACTGAACTTCTAGAGCCAACTGAACTTCTAGAGCCAACTGAACGTTGAATGTGAGCTGTGAAAGACAGAAACCAGCCGGCATGGTGGCTCACGCCTGTGACCCCAGCACTCTGGGAGGTCGAGGCGGGAGGGTCACTTGAGCTCAGGAGTTCGAGACCAGCCTGAGCAAGAGCGAGACCCCCGTCTCCACTAAAAATAAAAAAATTAGTCGGGCGTGGTGGTAGGGCCTGTGGTCCCAGCTACTCTGGAGGCTGAGGCAGGAGTCAGACTGAGGCTTGAGCCCAGGAGTTGGAGGCTGCAGTGAGCCGCGAGGACACCACTGCGCTCTGGCCTGGGCGATGGAGTGAGACTCTCTCCAAAAATTAAAAAAGAATTAAAAATTAAAAAAAAATAAAAAAGAGAGAGAGAGAAAGAAACAGATTGTTAGCTTTTGGCCTGAACAACTGTGTGGACGGGGCTGCCCCATGCTGAGAGGAGGGAGGCCAGAGGAAGAGCTTGTCCGTGGCAGGCTGGAAACCGGGGATTGCTCCTTTAGCGCAGAGGCGGCCCGTGGTGTAGGCGGATGGATACTCCAGGGGGTGCAGACCGGGAGCCCCAGCGGGAGCCGTGGTCTGAGAGCCGTGCTGGCCCCACTCCAGCCCTCCACACCCCTGCCGGCTCGGCCCGGCACCACCGCACGACCACAGCAGCGCGGCCCTGGCCTCTGGTCCCTGGCTGTGCGCGCCCATGGGCACACCGAGAGCCACTTGCGGGCAGGTGCCCCCGGCTCCCTCCTGCTGGGTCGCCCGGCCTCCATCAGTCAGGCCTCGTCCTTCTCCTCCCCACCAGGCTCTGCTCCTGCTCCTGCAGGCCTGGGTGGCATCAGGCGGCATCGGGAGCCTTTCCCCGAGCCTCCACCGCACCCTGCGCAAGCCACGGCAGAGTTCCTGCAAGCCCCAGAGCGCCGACCCAGCGCGGGAGGGCGCAGACAGGGAGGGCCCCGGGCGTGCACCAGGAATGCGGCCGTGGGAAGTAGCAGCCGAGAGCGTGCAGGGTCGGGAGAGGCCAGCGTCTGGGAGCCGAGGGAGGGGCGCGAGTGGGGAGGTCGGACGTGGGGGCCACGTGCAAGTGCCGCAGGAGGGAGGCGTCTCCCCAGAGGAGCGGGACGGCCGAAAGTGAGGCAGCGCTCACGGCAGGTGTAGATAGTCGTCCGGTGCGCTGTTCTGCAGAGGGGAGCAGGGACGTGGAACGGCGCTAAAGAGAGGTGCGGCGCTGAGACAGCTTCGTGTTTTCAAAGACAGGGAATGTTATTGGGCTTTGCATGCTGGTGAGGGCAGTGACTCAACAGAAAGAAAACTGCTGATGCAAGAAAAAGGATGTGTTGCCTGGTCTGGGAGAGGGCACTGGGCGCGGGGCAGCTCGCGTGTTGGGCGGGATGGAACGCGGATCCCACAAGGGCAGGCTAGGTGGGTGCGAGGGTACATTTGGAGAGCACAAGGACTCTTTAAAGTCGCTCTGTTCTTTTCCAGGAAGTATGAAACAAGATCAACTGCGAGTGAGAGGAGGACATTGCAGGGTGGCAGGAGAAGAGAGTTTGAGGCCGGGCGCGGTGGCTCACGCCTGTCATCCTAGCACTCTGGGAGGCCAAGGCGGGAGGATCGCTCAAGGTCAGGAGTTGGAAACCAGCATGAGCAAGAGCGAGACCCCGTCTCTACTAAAAATAGAAAGAAATTAGCTGGACAACTGAAAATATATATAGAAAAAATTAGCGGGGCATGGCGCATGCATGGTGGCGCATGCCTGTAGTCCCAGCTACTTGGGAGGCTGAGGCAGGAGGATCGCCTGAGCCCAGGAGTTTGAGGTTGCTGTGCAGGCTAAGGCTGCAGCGAACGTGCACTCACTGTAGCCTAGGCAACGGAGTGAGATCTGTCAAAAAGAAAAAGAAGAAAAGGGAAAGGAGGAGGGAGGGAGGGGAGGGAAGGGAGGGGGAGGGAGGGAAGGAGAGAAGGAGAGAGGGAAACCGAAGAAGGAAAGGAAGGAAGGAAGGAAGGAAGGAAGGAAGGAAGGGAGAGAGAAAGAAAGAGGGTTCCAAACGCTCACCCTGGGCGTGGGGAGGGAAGGGTATTGGCGCTGCCGGGCGGCGCTAAGGCTGCTCCAGGGCAGCAGGTCCCGCTAAGTGACCTTGGCTCTCCCACAGCACCGCCCTGCCCAGCCCTCACCCTCCACTTACTGGCAAAATTCCCACCCGGAACCTCAGGGGACACACCCCCGAGGAAGGTCACATGCTGGACAGCCCGGTGCCACCACGGTCCCAGGAAGCCGCACAGGGCTCCTACGTGGGTTGCGGCCTCGTGCTGGGCGATGGTGGCTGTAACCACCCTCTGCCGTCCTGGAGGCTCGGCCCCCTCTGCCCACGGAGGGAGTGGCCTCGCCTTACCTTCTCCCCCCGCACCTGCGGCCCCGCAGGTCCTCGGAGCTGCCAGAGGGCCCCGCACCTCGGCCACCCTGTTGGTGTCTGCTGATGGAAGTGCAGAGGGAGAACTGCAGGAAGCTTTTCTTCACTAGATAGGTAAGGTGCCATTTAAAAAACAGCACCGGGTGCCAGTGGCCCTGTGGAGGGGGCAGGGGACCCTGCACCTGCAGCTTGTCCCCGGCCCCGCAGAGAGCAGACACCGTGCAGCCCCCTCAGAACCCCGCTTGTCCG